TTAAGTTATCAATATGGAATTTTTATACATATTATACTATTTTATACTATATTGTAATACTATATAATACTATATAATATCTATGTATATAACTTGTGTAAAGTACGGAGTAAACTAAAATCCAGAAAACTGGGGGGCTCCACCTCCACGAAAAAGCGCGTCCTTGCATGCTGTTGGCCCTCCGCAATTTCAGCGGCTCTGACTTTCGGCTCCATTTCCTATTTTTTCTAATTTTTTCTAATTTTTTATTAATTTTACATTTCCCTTCTCTTCTCTTTTGCTCTTCTCTTCTGCTTTAACCCTATTTCCCCGTTCGACACATTCCCCGTTCCCTCCCGACTTGTGTTCTCCCGGTCCGGTGCCCCCGACTCTTTTTGAGTTTCCCCCACACTCCGCCAATTCCGTTATTCTTCTCCCTTGGCCCTTTCCCTCTTTCGTTCTCTTTACTTCCTTTTCCCTTCACCTAGCTTTAGTAAGTTTGAAAGCTAGTCCCTGGCATATGCAATGCTGACTATCATAGAGACCGAACGTCTTTAGCTTCATTCTTCGAGTTTCTTCCCCCGCAAAAAGAATACAACGGTCGACCCTGATACCGATGGTAAATGGGAAAATTGCGATTGACACAAATCGACTCGGTGCCTATCTGCAGACCTCGGGTCTATTCAATACACCATGCGGTCCAGTATCGCTTGCGCTCGATGCCGGCGCAGTAAAATCAAGTGCGTCAATGCCGGCATCGATACAACCTGCCGCGCGTGCGAATCATCCGGGCGCGAATGTGTCTATCCAACCCCAGCAATCGGAGTGAGCAATACCAAACGAGATTTGGCTACCCTAGCGGAAGGCGAGGATCGAAATGGAGATTGGGATGGCCCGAAACGACATCGCTCGCGCAAGGTGGTAGGCATCTCCGGCTCATCGACAGGTTCTAAGCTAGGTGTGGATGCGCTTGATTCCTCGATACTTACTACAAAAGTTTGGGAGGCTGTCTTCGATCTCTTCCAATCACATTTCGCAACTCTGTTACCCTTCCTACATCCCGCGACCTTTCTCGGCCAGATCCGACAGATTTCATCTCCCGCTCCTCCTCCCACGACCTTCGACGGACAAGATCCCCGGAATCCCATATACAAGGTGGACCCGTCTTCGTCGCTGATTCCGCTGGGTGTACTGGCTCTGACTGCTCGCTTTCACCCTCCGTTGACGGCAGCTCACTCACCGGCATCGCCTAATCATCCTTCAAATCCCCTTGCCGCATCGGAATACTATGCCGCAGCCCTCCGCAGCCGGCTGGCCGGCTTGGATGGTGCTTGCCTCGCTCAGCCTGATCTTGCGCGTGTACAGGCGCTATTGATGTTAGCCTTGCACGAGTGGGGGATGTGCCGAGGTAAGAGTGCTTGGGTCTACGTGGGTATGGCTATCCGGCTTGCACAAGCCATGGGTTTACCCTTTGAACTTGAAAATGAATTCCCAGCGCGAGATCCTTCGCGCTCGTCCCCAGGCTTGAAAACCGAGGCAGATCATTTTGGTCTGCCACGACGTGTAGAGCCCAGGGAGCCGACCTCTGATGATATCATTGCCCAAGAGACCAAGCGTCGGACATTTTGGGCTTGCTTTATCCTCGATCGATGCCTCAGCAGTGGAAAGTACCGACCTCGGATGGTCCGAGTCAAGGAACTCGGAATCCAGCTTCCGAGTGACAACGCTTTTGCTTTCGGCGAGCGGGTTCGAACGGCCCGGCTTAACGAACCGACCGTTCGGCGTCCGCAGAGCTTTAGTTCCCAAAGCATGCAAATCCCCAGCATACGTCAAAGCATAGGAGGCTTTGGCGAAGAAAAACTTCCAGGACCCAATGGGACTCCAGATAACAAGCCCTGGTCACCTATCTCTCGTCGCAAGGACTCGAGCGAGGAGGAGGTTGATCGATGGGAGGTTGGCGCCGAAGAGTCGGTGCTCAGCCGAGTTATTCGAATCATCCGTATTTGGGGAAGTATCGCCAAGTGGTCTTGCGCTGGCGGTCGACGCACGGAGCAATATCCCCCGTGGCATCCTGAATCTCGCTTCATCTCGCTCCGTCAGCAGTTGAATGAGTTCCAGGATAGTCTTTCTCGCAACTTGCAATACTCACCACGAAATACCGATACACATATCATGTACAAGACCACTCTGGCTTCATATACTGTGATGCATGTTGTCTACTTCCTCTCGGTTATTGTCCTCCATCGTGCCTATGTTCCATTCCTGCCTATCCGCTGCAATGAACCTTCCGGCCCCTTGGATGAGCCATTGTTCGCTATAGACAAGATCAATGGCCCACCCGACGGTTTCTGGCGCGATAGTGCCCGTGAGCTCTTCAAGGCAGCGCGACAGATGATCGACCTTGTGGCCACCTGTCAAGCCCGCGGTGCTCTTGTTGAGAACCCATTGGTTGGATTTGCTATCTACAATGCCGCTTTTGTCGGTGTTTATGGAACACATTTCCCCCACATGGATCCAGATGGATTGATGGGATCTAAGCCGCCCCCCGCGACCTATGATAGTCACCACCTTGGTGTCGCACAAGCACGCAAGGCCTTGGATATCATCCGAGAGATGCGGCCTCGTTTGAAGATGGCGATGGGTTGGTTCCGCACCCTGAATCGCCTTCACAGCTATTTCTCTAAAGTCAAGCGCGATTTCCGCCGGGTTTCACGGAATCGCCTCGATAGCATGTCGGATGCCTCCGACCATGGCCTCAATGGGATTCGGCCCCTTCGCGAAGGCGGTGCTGGTGGTGGCCTCGAGGAATTCAAGATGCTCGAAAAGCTTTTCCTCGACTTCGGAAGCATCGAGGATCAGTTGACAGAGCCTGGGATGGACGAGGACAGTATTGCAGTGCCAGCAGCAAGCGAGTCCATCTACGAGCGCACGAACATGAGTGACGCTGGAAGCAACGCCGTCAGGAGCGAAACCGGTGATCCCGGTGATCAGATGCTTGACGGTGCCGGTGGTCGTCGCGAGTCGTGGGTCCCGGTCAACAGCCCAGGTCTGTCGCTACCTGGCCACGATGGCGATCGTCGTCCCAGCCTACCACTTCCCAACAGCCGCCAAATGCCATCTGGATCCCCGTACTCCCTCCCATCCCTTCAGCAACATCACCCAGACGGTCCCATGTACACCACCTCGTCTCCTAGCTTCCCCTCTCTATCTGCAACTACGCAGTCCCCCTCCCAGTACTTGACGGCAACAACCAACCGTCTGAATCCCATCAACACCTGGCTCCCAGCCCGCCCGCAGGCTCCTCCCCCGCCATACTCTCAGTCCCTCCCTCCCATCAACGCATCCGCCGCACACACCATCCCTGTCCTCCCCCCACCGGGATCTGTCGGTCAATTGGCCCCCTCCCCGCCTCTGACCTCAACCGAATACCCAGACTCAAGCCTACTATCGACGAGTCTCGGCGGAGACGATGTTCTCGCCTTCCTGGATGGATCTGAATGGGGTCAGTTGTCCATGCTCGCGCCTTCTGAGATCGGTATTCCCGCCGGTTGGCTGAGCACGGTCTGGTCCCAATTCAGCCGTTAGAGTTTCCACCAGAGAGCCATAATTTCTGTCCCACCTCTTCAATCGGTGCCCATCGAAGCAGCGGCACCGATCGCCTTCCAAGGTTGTTTCATTGTATTATTACTCTTTACGACTTCCCCCGTCCGTTACGTCTTACGTACTGTACGATCATCTCTTTATCTGTCTCTCTCTCTCTCTTTTATCTATGATTGCCGGCGACTCAAAAAATGGGACATTCAAGCCTGCGGAAAATCCCCCGAGTACCCGAAGGCAGGCGAATTGAACTCCAAATCCAAACATTTCCTCTCCTGGTCTGGCCACCCCATGTATTGGTCATAGACCGGGAATTGAAAACGGGATCACGAAGATTGATTATCACCTATACCCAGCGCGCGCGACCTCGTCTTTGTTTTATTTTTATTTGTCTTGTTTTCGATATTGTTCACTTGCTACATGCTTTTCTTTTTGTTTGGATTATGTTATTCAAAATGCAAGCAAGGCGTTCCTCGTGGTTTCCAGCCACGGTGGCCGTGAAATCCGAGTTGATTATTCATTTACCATCAAATGGTTTTCCTTTTCTCTCTATTTGACTTTGCTTTATTTCGAGCGAATTTGGGATGACACAGAAACCTGGCAGCGTGGCCGGGTTTTTCGACTTTGATTTGATTTTCTCCGTGCCGGTTTTTTATGTTTTGGAGCCGACCTTTGAAAAGGTTGGGTATGAATGTTTTTGGAGATGCGTTTACGATAGCCTAGGCGTTGACTTTCTCTGTCTTGCACACTGCAATTCTCTTGGATCAATTTATCTGCCTCTATGGCCTTTTTTTTATTCTTCATTCGGGGATTTTTTCACGTAGAGCTACTCATTTCTTTGCCTTGTACGTAGCGGGTACGGAGGTCCTTCACAGATTCCTTGATATCGTCTTGTTTGAACGCCACTGCTTCGGTTTTGGACTTGACGCGTGATGCGGTACGGACCGTCGCTTAGATGGATATTCGGACATAGACCACATCGTTCTAGCGAACAGGCATACTTTGGTCGACGTAGGACTGGATATTTTAGAGGGCAGACGAGGCGCTTTCGGCGGCGGACCTATGGGTATTAGCCAATGACGAAAACAAAGCTGTGCAACGAGAAACTCAGCCAGAGTCGACCAGCATACCATTCAACAACTGGCCACGAAAAGCATCCCCACCAATTGAAGCTGAGGCAGGGGGAGGGAATAGATGTTGAGAAGGGAGAATATGAAGTGGGAGTTGGAAGGTGGAAGGTGCCCGGCAATATCTTGAAAATTATATCTGCCATTTGTCATGATTCTTGTGCAACAGTTCTTTGGCAGTCTAGAGTCAGATTCATATATCCCGAGCAATCATGACTTCAGCCTGCAAAATTTTAACTGACGCTAACACAGGAACTCTCCCAGCCTCAGACACAGCTGATGCACTTCACTTCAAGCTCACGCTGCCAAATTAATAGCTTCCTGGGCCTCCATTAGTTGCAGATAGACACCTGAAACATTCCACCGTACATCAATAGCCATGAACCCCTCACGCAGGCTCCTCACCACCTCAAGGCCATGGGGTGATTTATGGCGTGTCCGCATATGGGCCCCACAAATGCGATAGGCAAAATACAGACCCCACGGGGACATACCCTCTGGATCCCGACCTAAGAAGCATTGTCGCTCGATCAAATTCGCGCTAATACGGTCCGTGATTTGCTGAAGTATAACCTTCGCGCGGCGTGAACGATCGGTGTCGATTTCTTGAACTCTATCCGATGATAGCCAGGGTGTGTATAGAGCGACTAGGGCGCTGAATTTGATGTAAGAGCTTGCTTGTAGAGGACAAGGTTGATGATGGTAATACTAACCTGTACACGAATGTGATCTGATCATAGTCCGGGCAGTCTATATTTAATGCAGCGACTAGCATTGACTGCAGGGTACGATCAAGCTGTACCCAATCATCTTCACTAGTGAAATCGGTTGAGAGGTGATTGAGAACTTGGCCCAACAGCCTGGCGGCTTGGCATAGTAGAGCGAATTTACTCATATGTCCCGTCATTGGAGACGAGAGAGTCGAGAAATTATCGGGTTTGACAATCTAATTTGAAGATCAAGATCAGCACCTAAATGACAAATAGCACGAGTTGACATACCCCCTGGTCCCACGCGGCATCATCGGCCGGTAAAAAGTCGTCCAATTTTGGATCTGCAGTTGCAAAGGGCCGTCCTGGACAGCCGATGCTAACAAAGCTTTTCTATTATTAGTATCCAGAATAAAGGACCCACAGTACCCGGGGACAGCGACAAACCGATCTAAAATAACAATAGCCCACCAGACTCTCCGTCGCTCTTCAACCTCCACCAAAGTGAGTACTCTCCTGGTCACCACCGTGCGACTGACATTGATACCTAAGGCATGGGCATACCTCGCACAGGTCCCGATCGACAAGAACGCAGCTGGGTAGATCCCGTGTCCTAGCTCATAAAGAGCCACAAGAATACCAGCTTGTAGTACTAAAATAGAGAAAGAGCCTTCCACCTTTAGGTAAAATTGTTTAGTTGAGTTGTATAAGGCCGTCCGGGGACTGCGAGAACCAGCCGGCGGGAAGGTAGTGATTAGCTTTAATGCCAATAAGAGAAGAACAACATCGGGCCGTGAGTGGAATGAGGGCTGCAGATAAAAGTCATAAAACCGCTTCTTCGAGATAAAGGGCATCCACTGATGGATATGCTCGAAAAACCGCGCTGCCGTGAGCCGGATTTCATCCAAATCACCTATTAGTTGTAAGATATACTGCGGGACAGTCCCTGTCACTGGTGTAGTTTCCACTAAGCTATGGTGTAGTAGAGCCGGATCGAGAAACAAGATGGTTGCAAAGTCAATAGTCTGAACATCTGGCTGCTCGTCCGGGGGAGAGGGGTACCATCCTCGCTCCGGGCTTGAGGCTGTGGCTGAGTGACTGGGCGGCTCTGGCCTCCAATATTCGCAAATTTGATTACGTCTGCGTTGCCCTTCGTTGTTAGCTCTGCAGCTGTAACGTGGTCTTCCGTGCTTACTTGGCGCAGAGGGAGCATCTGGGGAGTGCCTTGTCGCATTTTCTCTTGCGCGACCTGCAGGATTGGCAGGACTGCGGGGCCAGTGCGAGGCTAGAGTCATGGCTGGGCGTCTGCATGGTAAAAGTGGAAGGTGGACGGATTTTGGTTTCTAGCGGGCTTTGACGGCCGCAACAGCGGGAAACTAAGTGAGGAAGATGGCCGCAGAATGCGGGAGGTGGATGCGGAGACGACCGGGTCATTTGCGGCCGCACGCGATGACAAATTGCGGACACGGCCCTATATGGAGAGATCGAAGGCTGAATCATACAAAGAATGGACATATAAATATTCCCCATTATCATTGTCAATTGATTCAAGACACTATACCTAGATATTCATCTCAAAAGTTTATTCTCTGTTCCTCAATATGGGCTTATCAAGCCGCTATGCTGTTGCGCATCTCGATCCTAAAGGCGCCGGAGATGCACGACCAACTGCCCTTCAAATCATCCAAGACGAAGGTTCCGAAGGTAAACTGGCTGGCAAGGTTATCGTCATCACTGGAGCTACAGCAGGCATTGGTATCGAGACAGCTCGTGCCTTATCGGCCACCGGGGCCACTCTACTCCTCACAGCCCGCAATCGATCCAAGGCTGAGAAGAACCTCGCCAGGATTCTAGAACCCGGCCGAGTCTCGCTGATTGACTTGGATCTGGACTCCTTTGCGAGTATTCGTGCCGGAGCAGAAGAAATCCTCACCGCGTCCAAGGGCCAGGTCAACATTCTTATCAACGGCGCGGGTGTCATGGGCCTCCAGAACCACACGCTCACCGAAGATGGCATTGAGGCGCAATTTGCGGGCAACTATTTGGGATTCTTCCTTCTCTTCCAGCTTTTAAAGCAAGCTTTGTTGGCCAGTGTGACCCCAGAGCTTAATTCGCGAGTTGTGGTCGTGTCTTCATCTGCTCACCGAGCTGCTGCCACCCTCCCAGCTAGCGACAACTACAACTTCGAAAAGGGCGGATATCAACACGAAATGGCATACAACAATGCCAAGCTGGCAGCGGTGTATTTAGCTAACACCATCGAGCGGTTATATGGTGCCAAGGGACTACATGCTACCAGTCTCCACCCCGGCGCGATCAACACTGATATATCCCGCAATATGCCTCCGGAATTCTTAGAGACTATCATGATCAACCCATATGTCGTGAAGATTTTGAAGTCTTCCGAGCAGGGGGCGGCTACGACGGTATGGGCGGCTGTGGGCAAAGAGTGGGAGGAAAAGGGCGGCAAGTATCTCGAGGACTGCAAGGAAGCAGATCGTGGTCAGGATGATGGCCAAGTTTTTGGTGCTGGATGGGTGAAACAGACATATAATTCTCAGGAAGAGGATCGTCTCTGGAAGGATTCCCTCAAGATGGTCGGACTCGGACTGGAGAGTGAAGCTTGACCCTTTTCACGCATTGATCAGATGCTATGATCCTATCACTCAAGAGAAACATGATAGCAATATTCTTTGTGCACAATTGGACTTGGCCTCCAAGATCACGATGTCTTTTTCTTTCTTCTAAACAATTTTTCGGCCTTGGAGTTGGCTATGTGCCATGATTCTCGGCGTAGATAGCCGATTGTCACAGATATCCATGTAGGTGTCGACTGCATGTACGGCAGACGATAGTTTGATCAAACCAAAAATTGATATGCAATAAGTTAAAATTATAACTCGATCTCTCCACACCGACCTGATACGGTACGTGTAATGCGCCCGCATCTCGAAGCTTTCTTTAGATATCCTTTTTGGTGGATTTATTTTGAGAAAATAGAGCGATTATAGTAAAGTAAAATAGGGGCCCCGGATATTGAACTTACGTCTTACAGAAACAAAATACATCCATATCTCTCCTTGTAAGAACTACCCAGCTGTCTACCTATGAACACATAAAACTCAATGAAAGTTTTATAAAGATCAGAATTGTTCGATTGCCTCGATCTTGAGCTGAGGGAATTTTGGTAAAGCGATGTAGCAAATTGGGTGCTTGTAGTGGCCGGTGCCTCCTTATTAGGGATGTTCATTTCGGAACTAATTCCTACAAAAGTCCCTGTGCCTGCAATTAGCGTCACATATTCAAGATCAAGTTTAGAAATTTACAACATTACCTGCAGATCTTGGCCGTAGGGAAAAGTGCAAGGGTGATTTGTCAGATGATATAAAATCGAATGGAAATCTATCCGATTGTATTTACAACCTAAGGCAGTTTTGAATGATGTGAACGTGAATTTATTCATCCAAGTCTCTTCACTTCTCTTACTTCTTTTGCTTGTGAGCGGAAATTAGCCTCGCCTCTAGGAAACATGTTAGAAGGAGGCCTGAAAGGGGACCAAAGAAGAGATCAAATTTACAGGCGAGGGAGTGGTAAAGAAAGACAGTATGGCTATAGTGATAGTGTTTCTGAGTAGCAAGCTATAGCAATATATAGCAATACCCGTAGATCAACGTCAATCATCTAGTTTTATCCTTCTTTTTTGCAGCCTCCTCCTTTGCGTTATAACTCGGTGGCACATCAATCATATCAAACGGGCTCTCATAACTATCACCGACAAACCCCCATATTGCGACTCGTATGATCCGGTGCTTATGAAGGCTGCTTAGTTCTTCACGGCACTGTTCTTTTAATAATTTCTTATCATCTTTAGGAACGTCAAAGCCTCGAGCTCTCCGACAACATCCACATTCAACGGTACAATGTCCAACCCCAAGCCTACGCCTAGGATCGATCTTGCGGTTAAGACAGCAACCACATCCACGAGCACAGCACCCACGTCGACTAGCACAATCTTCAATAAGCACGTAGTGCATATACCATTGAGGATGTGAACGCCATAGGTCGAACGCTCTTAGCTGATACGCAGCTTCTAGACAGGAATGATAATGCCACCACATTTGCTCCAAGAGCCAGTATTTAGCATTTAAAACATTAAGTCTTTCTTTAGCATCCTTGCTCAAGGCAGAACCCTCTTTAATAGATATCTCTTCTTGGACAACTTCGCGGAGGTCTTCCTCTACAAAGAGAAGCTTATGCGAGATAAAAGGAGGGCCAGTTTTGTCTCTTCTGACTTGGCCCCAGTATTGACGCAAGCGATATCTTTGGAGAATATTTATATCTTCAGATCGTTCGAGGCTGAGTTCCTCATAGTTTTTGTCGCCCCTTAACCCCCCGTGCGCTTTTCTGTGTGCTCGAGCACGGTTCGATTTTCTTTTGGTACTCGAGTTCGGCTTTCTTTTATGATGGAAAGAAAATGACATCTTGGATGTCGGAACGTGTAACCGAATGTGAGAATGAAGAATGTTTCTCGGGGGTTTATGGTTGGTCTAATAAAATTCATCCATAGTGATGTCAGCTTGAACCTCCGACACCTAAAATGTTAGGTTATGACTTAGTCTTTTCATATTGTACCTTTTCTTAATTAGGTCTGGTCCCGAAGGAAATCCACTTTGGATAGTGGTTGTATAAAGATTAGAAGATTCAATTTTTGTATACAGTCGCCCCTTCTCACGCTAAATGTATTTCCCTGGGATCAGGATTTGTAAAGAAAATGATATTACTGTCAGCTGTGGTACTCTGTACTGATTCCAGAACTATGTTCGTTCGCTGTTACAGGGTGCAATTCGCAACACTGTTCCTGCTCCTGTTCAACTCAAAGAGAAACCCTTAAACATCATCGTCAACTCTGAGAGTAGACATAATATGAGCAACAGTCTCCACATCCTTATCCCCCCGTCCACTAAGACAAACGACAACATCCCGCCCAGGTCCCAACTCCTTCGCAACACGCACAGCCCCAGCAACAGCATGCGAACTCTCAAGTGCAGGCATAACTCCCTCAAGCTGACTGAGCAACGAAAAAGCCAGTATGACCTCCGTATCGTTTGCCCCGACAAAGGTAGCCCGACCGGACTCCTTCCAACTCGACAACTCAGGTCCAACACCAGGATAATCAAGTCCAGCAGAGACATAATGCGTCTTGCCATTCTCTCCGTCCTCATCCCAAGACAAATAAGTCCGCAAGCCGTACAACAAACCAACAGACTCACGATCCAGCGAAGCAGAGTGCTGCCCAGCCATCGACCGACTACCACCCGCCTCAACGCCAACAAGAGCAACTGATGAATCACCAAGGAATGGGTAGAACATACCAACAGCATTCGATCCACCACCAACACAGGCAACAACTGCATCAGGAAGTCTACCATAATTCATGGCGCCGAACTGAATTCGAGTCTCGTTGCCAATAACAGCCTGGAACGTGCGAACAATAGTCGGATACGGATGCGGGCCAAACGCCGAGCCGATAACAAAATGCGTAGTCTCCAGCTCCATCGCCCAGACGCGGAAGGCCTCGTTGACTGCATCGCGGACGGTGCCCTTTTCGCCGCTGCACGGTGCGTCAATGGGGACAACCGCTGCGCCGAGAATGCGCATGCGCAGGACAGTCAAAGGCTCGCGGTCGAAGTCCTCGGATCCCATAAATACAGTGCATTTCATGCCGAATTGCGCGCATAGAGTTGCTGTTGCGACACCGTGCTGGCCAGCTCCTGTTTCGGCGATTATGGAGGTCTTACCGAGTCGTCGCGCGAGGATTATCTGGCCTAGGGCGTTGTTGATCTTGTGACTGCCTGTGTGGTTCAAATCTTCCCGTTTCAGCCAGATGCGTGCTCCGCCTGCATGCGCTGTTAGGCGTGGGGCTAGATGGAGGGAGGAGGGTCGATTGGCGTATGTTGCGTAGGAGTTGATTTCGGCCCAGAAGGTTGGGTCTGCGTTTGCCGACTCGAAGCCGTTTTCTAGCTCGACAAGGCCTTCCATTAGGGATTCTGGGATGTATTGGCCGCTGAAGGTACCCAAGTGGGTATTGATGGCTTTGTTGGCTTTGTTGTTGTCTTCGGGTGTATCGCCTGCTCCATCATAGGAAAGGTAGACAGTAGTGGAGGACAAGGCTTGGTTGGCTTGCTGTCTTCTCTCTGTTATGACAATTTGATCCTCAGTGCGTCCAGCAACTCGAAGACAATACTCTTTGACTCTTTGAGCACCAGTTCCAGGAGCCGCGTTTCCCAGGATGTAGATGATTGGGCTTCCGATGACGATACCTTCAGCGAAACGAGCAAAATCAGCAATATCTTGTCGGGTGTTGATACCAAATCCGACAGCTACCGGGACCGAGTTCCCAGTGCAAGCATTCACATGATCAGCCAAGTATTCCATACGCCCATACGGCTTCTCGTGGCTTCCGCTAACTCCCATCCTAGATACAATAGAAATAAATGAGTCAGCGAGGTTGCAAATCACCTCCATATGAGGATCCGGAGTAGAAGGGGAAACGAGAGGAATGTACGATAGTCTGGAATCTTGGTAAGCTCAATGCAAATGTAAGCCAGAAGATAGGGTATACAGACTCTTTTGATCTGCACAGACCACGGCAATGCACTGCGTCCTCGGGAGCAAGATCAACAATGACGAGCCCGTCTACGCCAGCAGCCTTGCAGTCTCGGAGTAGCTTCTCCTCTCCGTAGGAATATTCACGCACGGGCTTGTAGTACCCTACCAGCAGCACGGGGACAGCGAGACCTTGGGTACGGGCTGACTTGACCATCTGCAGAATGTGTGAAATCCGAACGCCGTTCTCGAGAGCCTTGGCATTGGCATGCTGGATGGTTAGGCCTTCAGTGACATGGTCTGTGAAAGGAATGCCAAGTTCAATGATATCTGATTAGGGGTTATAATTAGTTCATGTTAAATACAGGATGGTATGTGTCTCACAAAAGAGACAGGAGTAAACACTACATACCTGCACCCCCGGCTTGCATGGATAACATGATACCCGGTGTTTCGCTGACGGTCGGGTAGCCAGCTGTCACATATGTGATCAAGGCAATGCGGTTTGTGGCCTTGCATTTTGCAAAGGCTTCTTTGATGGCTTCCATGTTGTGGTAGTTTGAGAAGACAAGAAAGCTGTCTATCCTGCGGAGGGGGTGCTGTCACACTGTCACAATATAGTGGATAGAAGAGATGAAAAAGGAAAAAGGAAAAAGGAAAGAGGAAAGAGGAAAGAGGAAAGAGGAAAGAGGAAAGAGGAAAGAGGAAAGAGAGTTGAGAGAAGACTTGCACCTATTTGAGCTTACAGTCTCAGCTTCTCACTTCAGATGCCTGTGGTGGAGACATTGCTATCTGATGTCTGATGTCTGCTTGTTTGCTCCCCATGTTCTCTCTTCTGGCTAGATATGTATTTCGCCTCTATAGTCATTCATTCAAGATATTTTCTCTCAAAGGCTTTGGATTTTTTAGTATCTTTGCAAGTCTCTAACTTATACGTATAAAATGTTGATTGTCCATGCCGCGGGGAATCAATAACTTTGTCACGTCACCACCCGAAACACATCGGGCCATTGCGAATCTCCATACCATCTAATAGTTCAACTATCTACCTAGCAATCGCTCGCCCTCCTCGCTAGATCCAAGGCTTGCGAATTGAACCTTGCGAATAGCATGTCCTTTCCACATGAGCAACATAACAAACATGTAAGAGAACACCGCAAAGAAAGCCATCATACCATAAACCCAACCAACATCAACAGCCTCAACCCAAGGATTGATATAGAAGCTAATTGTCAATCCATAGACAATGCGATAGGCACCAATAACAATACCTGCCTCAGCCGGATACCGCGTGAAGCACTCGACAACATAATTCACCGTGACAGGGACACTGGCTAACGACCCAACAGTCACAATAAAAACTGCCAGTGCGAGAACCATATAATGCAGATGATACTGTAAAGCGGCACCGAAAATCCCTAGGCCAATTGGATTGATCACAAGACTAGGAAGCCACAGGACATGCAGTCGATACTCGGGCTTCCAGACACCCCCGTTGTACCGTCGTGCCAGTGCGAGCGGCAGCCGATCGTTCAGATAGTGGCCGTAGAATTGGACGACGATGATTCCAATCCAATGACAGAATGTGAATGCCGCATTTTGTTCCAGTGAGAACCCGTAGCCACCCTCTGAGATAGGTTTCTGAAGCCATACCGGCGTGAGTGCGTTGACGCCCACGTAGAATCCAAAGGAAATTAATGTGAAAATTCCCATGATGATTGTCACGGGGCACATGCCAATCAAAAATGGGGTGATTCCGACTTTTGCCTGTTGAATTAATGTTAGATTAAACTTTATTTTTATGGTATGGCATAGGGCCTTGGGCTTTCCCTGACATACCGTCTCTTTCCATGTAGTTGGCAAGACAACCCTCTGCCCGAAGAAAAATGTAGCGAATCTATTAGCCAAAATTCCACCTGAAACATCGGGATTCCGTTCCAAGCGTTCACGATCGAATCCAGTTTCCTCTAGGAAACAGAAACAACATATAACCGTGAACCCCAGTAGACCGACCGTCCACCAGAACTCAACAGGAAAAAACGAGTGCGCAGAAACAAACCCTGAGAACGTCGGACCGGCAATCGTTCCAAACAAGAAGGCCATGTGCAGAGCAGTAAAAGCGCGTCCACGCTGATGCAAGAAGAACAGATCGGTCACGATGCGAGGGCCAAGCACTGTGGGCACGGCACCGAAGAAACCGGCAAAGAGCCGGGAGATCACGTATGCGATATAGTCACCGGGATCGGTCATGACGGCACCCCAGATCTGGCATACTAGCGTGAACAGTAGACACCAGAAGATCACAGAGCTGCGACCGAGCATATGAGATATCGGGGCAAAGAAGAATGGGCCCGCTGCCATACCGGCTAGGGCGGCCGAGTTCTGGAGGCATGTTAGGTGGGTGATACTGAATTTGAGAACAGCGTAGAATCGTCAGTCTTGGCCGAAGTGTAGTTATAAGCTTACCGCATAGGACTCCTCCAGCTTCGTCTTTTTATACAGTTTCTCCTGATCAGCCAGGTTGAGCTGTCCCGATAAAGGCGCAATGGCGCCGGAGAAAGATGCGAGGCATAGCACGGCCAGTATTACATATTTGCGATTGATAGGCCAGTTCTAGAAGGATCTCATCAGTTCATTTTAAAGGATAATGTTTGAGGTTCTTCTATCGTACCAAAGGGTCCCGGGGGTGAGTACTAGGCTGGGGGACCAAGACAAGGTGAGCTGTATGGTGTTTTTCCACTGGGGGTAAAACAGAAGGGGACGTTTCGGTGTCCTGTGCTTCTTTGTGGTCCATAGTGACTATATATTGCGTCGTCAAATCGTGGATAATGGCCAAGTACTTCTCCCAAGAGCTGGGGTATGTCTTTCGCTATCCCTTGCGTTGACGTCTCCCCTTTTTTTCTAGCCTTGCGAAGCAAGATATCTTGGCGGGCTAGATTAAAGGCTTTAATTTTGCCAAGCTCTTCGCCGATCTCTTTGTACGAGTAGGGAAAAGCTTGCGTGGGGACGCGTCAGCTTGGCCCTGGGCCAGTTGTGGGGGGTGTTTGGTGCGTGGCATGGAAGCATATAAAGCACGAGAATCATTCCTAATATCTTCTGCGCCTAGAACATGCTGTGAGTAATTGCACTGGACAAGCCATCTTGAATTGAATATGTGTCTAGTCAAATCGGTGCTGGAATGGACAACAAATGCAACGAAGGCCTGATATTTCAGGTATTCAACCAGAAATAACAACTTCAACCTCACACGGTCACGATCATTGGCATTGTCCCTATTATCCAGTTATCTCTGATTACTTTGGCGTGACTCACATCTTTATCTGCAAAAGGAAACTGTCGGCCACCCAAGCCGATCGCCCTATCCGATCCACATCAGAGAAAAAGGCTCCACGCGCAAAAAACCAGGCTTCGGCGACAACTTCAACATGCCGAGGGGTCTTTTCATACAAGATGTCCACTGAATCCTGTTCAATTATTTTCTTGTATATTATTTCACTAATTTAGACATGAGGAAATCATCAATCAACCTTTTACATCGACTATATACCATCTAATTCCTCTCAATACCCAATCATGGAATCCAAACTAGACCTCGAGTCCCAAAAACCAACCCCGCAGATCGATTCTCCTCACGACTCGGAATCAGAAGATGAACTCGCCTTAAAACCCGTGCCCTCAAACGCCTATGGCATTCCAACATGGCGCAAATGCCTAATCCTTTTTGTCGTCAGCTGGATGACCCTGGCTGTCACATTCTCCAGTACTTCACTATTGCCCGCAACCCCGGAGATCGCTACCGACTTTTCTACTACATCGGAAATTCTTAATGTCACTAATGCCGGTGTACTAATTGCTATGGGTTTCTCTTCTTTTATTTGGGGTCCTATCACCAACCTATTCGGCCGTCGCAATGCCTATAATGCAGCTATCCTCGTGCTTTGTGCATGCTCGGCCGGTACAGCCGCGGCGATCAATTTGCATATGTTTATCGCAATGCGCATTTTGGGAGGCTTTACCGGTACCTTCTTCATGGTTGCTGGGCAGACTATTCTTGCAGATATCTTTGAACCAGTATGTCGGTTTGATTCCGATTGTTTTCTGGTTACGGTTACTGACAGGAGTTTATAGACTGTGCGTGGAACGGCTGTCGGCTGCTTTATGGTTGGATCTGTCAGTGGGCCTGCAATTGGTAATATTAAACCATCACTATCTCTATGTATGTCGCTGGATCTAAGTGACTAATCGTTTAATTAGGGCCCTGTATCGGTGGCATCATCGTCACTTTCGCTCAATGGCGCATTATCTATTGGTTGCAATTCGCAATGACTTTACTTGGCCTCGTATTGTCTCTTCTTTTCGTGCCAAGTATCCAAGAAAAGAATCGGGACTCCAACGAACCCCGCAAACTTCGCACTGTTATAAGCATGTTCAACCCCATGCGCATCTTTCGCCAATTCGTGTATCCCAATATCTTTCTTGCAGTAAGAATTCTCTGCCAATTCTGAAATTGTATGCTGTCCAGTAACTTACTAACAAGCAACAGTGCCTCACATGTGGCCTCCTTTCTACATTCCAATACGCACTACTCACATCAGCCCGCTCAATTTTCAATCCCCGTTTCAACTTGACGTCTCCTCTTATCAGTGGCCTATTCTACCTGTCCCCCGGAATAGGCTTTCTGATCGGTAGCGTCGTTGGCGGCAAGCTGTCCGACCATGCCGTGAAGAAATGGATTGTCAAACGAAACGGGGTCCGCCTGCCTCAGGACCGACTGAACAGTGGCATTGCCACCCTTTTTGGGGTTCTCCCAGTTGCAACCCTGATTTACTGCTGGACGTTAGAGGAAGAAGTTGGCGGTATGGTTGTGCCAATTATCGCTGCCTTCTTTGCGGGAGTAGGCCTTCTGGGTGCTTTCAATGGGCTAAATACTTATTCTGCTGGTGAGTGTTGCTTGTTTTGCACAAGTATCCCCGAGCTAACCATCTATTTTTCAGAGGTTATGCCGCATGTTCGTTCAGAGGTTATCAGCGCGAAGTACATGGTGCAGTATATTTTTGCTGCCGGAGCGACGGCGGTTGTTGAGCCGATAATTAGTGCGATCGGAGTAGGGTGGACATTTACTATCTGTGAGTTCTATCGACGAGATTATGACTGAGGCATATCTAACTATTTATCAAGGTGTATTCTTCGCTATAACAGGTGGTTTCTTTGTGCTTGCTATCACGAAATGGGGCATTGATATGCAGCGATGGTCTGAAAGGAAGTTCAGCCTCGACGCGAAGTCTTGACCACAACGATATGACGCTTTTCTTTCCCACTTGCATTTGTGTCTTTGCATACTAGGCGATATGAAATGCCTGCATGATAAAATTGGTTTATATAGATTTCGATAGACAGAGATGACTCGATAATTTGGAAAATAATACAAAGATTGAGCTAGATAGACACACCAGAAAGACACGTCTCAAAGCATTTAAAGGGCCATTTTTTGTGCTTAATTATGTATACGAACTCAATGTATTATGCTCGTCTGGGCAGACTTCAAAGGTTGGGCCTTCCTTCCAGTTTGCCGGGTCAGCGAATCGATTAGTCAGTAACGACTCGGCCAAATCCCCAAAGCGCCGAGCGCTCGGAAAAAACCTTTCAGAAGTCCGACCGCATCCGGCGATTTCTATTATTGCACAATTTGAAAAGCCCGAGAATAAGGGAATTGGGCAGATGGTGAGGAAAAGACGTGCTCTTACAGAGCAAGAGCAGGAAAGTCGCGAGTCCCAAAGAAGGAAATTTGTCGCGTGCGTATTCCACCCGGTACCTCACACCGAAGCCACTGAGCACTAACGCACGGCATCAACAGCTGTCAAAGATGTCACTCGCATAAAATTAAATGTTCCGGAGACCAACCGTGTAGCAAATGCCGCACGGTAGGACTCGCTGATGAATGCGCCTATGCTACTCGGGATCGCCAGGTGAAAATTAGCGAGAAGTATGCAAGCAAGCCACAGACTATTATTCGACCAAGCCCTTTAAAAAGACTTGTCTATTACATGTGTCAGACCAGAAGCTAAGATTTCCTTCTCCATTCAGCTATTTAGATCAGATCCTGGCGGAGAATCAGCGGCTCAAGGAGCGGTCGATCACCTCGGCTCAAGTTGCCGAGACCAACGACCCATCGCAGAGGTAGGCATCCCTTGACTTCTGAAGGTGACCCGCAACATGCTGAGATGTATATCAGACGCCCTTCCAGGACAGCAGATGCCCCTGATGGAACGGGAATTCAGAATCCATTGATTGGAGATCGAGCCTGGTTCCACCGGTATGATCCCTCTTCGCCACCCATCTACATCGGCGAGGCAGCATGTTCAGCATTCGCAACCCGGTTTCGGCGTTTCTTGTCGGGGAACAGTGCAATGCCACATATTCCTCGAACACAGTGGGAACGCGAAGAGACAATCGCCGCAGCGAACGAAGCAGATGTTCAGTGGCCGAGTCTCCACCATGCTCGGTTGTTAGTTCGGATCGCAATCCATCAGATCGGACATTTGTACCACCTCATGACGCGCAAGTCGACCTTAGATAAACTGGAAGAGATCTACCAGACACAAGACTTTGACTGCGCGGCTAACAAGTGTAAATTCTTCGCCCTATTCGCCTTTGGCCAAGCGTATTCAATCCGATCCGAGCCCAATTCTGGCTCCAGGGTACCGGGCACGTCGTACTTTGCTCGGTCAATGGGATTGGTCCAGATCCTGCCGGAGAGAACCAGTATTACACACTTGGAAACCCTGCTATTGTTGGTATGTGGCTCAGCATGTACTATTATTCGACAGCAGAGTACTTACCATATCCCAAGTCTCTTTTTTCATACTATCTCAACCGACGTCATTCAGCGTATGTCTTGATCGGAAACGCCATGCGGATGGGTTTGACCATTGGCTTGAACCACAATATCCTAGAATCACAGGTCATCGACCCAGTGGAGCGCCAACACCGCATCCAAATATGGTGGACAATCTACATCTTCGACCGGATGTGGGGGTCCAAAATGGGTCTCCCAATGCAAATCCTCGATGAAGATATCCACGTCGACATGCCGTCAACTATCTCCCCTCGTTGGCGCCACGAAGAAGAACTCTCCGATACAGAATACATGACAGCCAATATCAAACTGGCACGTATAGTCGGTGAGACAATCACCAAACTATACAGCCGGCGAAAGTACCAAGAGACCTTCCTGCAGCGCGTCCAGAAACTTCTCAAAGCCCTGAAACACTGGGTAGAGACACTCCCCGAATCCCTCAGACTGAACATGGAAGACCTGGAATCGAGCAAAAAGCCCATAGTTTCCCTCCACATGGCCTTCAACCAATGCGTGATCCTAACTACGCGCCCAACGCTACTGCACCTCCTAATGACACTAAGCAAAAAAAGCAAACCCCGCCCCGATACCGCTGATAATACCAGTGGGGCCGGGGCTGGAACCGAGAGCCAGGAGGTATCGGTTTCCCAGCCCGTTCTGACACTAAGCGAAGCATGTATCCATGCGGCACGGCACTCCCATTCCATGATCTTGACACGGTGGATCAACGGGTCCATGCCGACGTTCGGCTATTTCCACGCCCACTACCTCTTTTCCTCGGCGTTGATCTTAGCAATGTCTAGCTTTGTTCCGATCGGCAATCCGACTGATATGACGGGGTTCGACTCCGCGCTGGATCTGCTGCGTTCCATGACCGAGAATGGAAATTTGGCTGCGGCGGAATTCTACCATAACCTCGAGCAGGTGAAGGTTTGTCTGGCTGCGTATCGGGGAGGAAGTCGGGGTGAGGGGGCTACTGAGATGGCTGCTGGTGGAGGAGTGGCTCCTAATACCAACGCTAATACCAGTGGTAATGCTCCCTCTGGTGCTGGTGCGCTAGCTTTATCTAGGCCTGGGTCGGATTTAGCAGCCGCTACTACTCCATTTTTGAACACCTTGCCATTGAACCCATCCACATCGGCATCAACATCGGCATCTATGCCTCCAACGTCTTTGATGCCAACAACGCATGATATCCTTGCTTCTGCCACCACTCAGCCTGTCCACAGCCAAGGTATCGATCCATATACCTATCCCTTGAGGGATACTATCAGTGGGTACACGACCGAAATGGCATTTCTAGAGCCGACCATGCAAGATTTCCTGGCGCAGTCAGATATCGACCTTGGGCTGTTGCATCCTGTTGATACGTTCTTCAACGAGGCGGAGAATCTATATACATGTCATGAATTTTGACCGGGGCTAGCCAGAGCAAATAAAAAATTAATAATGATATCCACATTCTAGACTTAGTCGTTCTAGTCTAAGTTGAGTTGACAAGCGACTCGACACTCTGATGCTTGAAGGTGGTATTGAGGTCAAGATACTCTATCGTGTATGTATAAACCGAAAATATTCTTATTAGCAAATGAAGGAAACAATCTTATGACAAGACATAAAACTGTCAGAACAAAACACAATCAACTTTGCAAAAATCCATAATGAAAATAAACTGAGATCATAACCGAGACATCAGATGGAAAAGCGTTTCCAGCATGACGAGAGACGCGTGATGAATGGAACAAATTGCATGATATATATGTCGTTAATCCAGCAGGTAAAAGCCAATGCATCGCTTGAGTTACTTTCCCCCAATCAAGCAGTGAGTGATATAGATCAAATTACTATATCTTCACAAGACACATTGAAGAATGCGTGTACCTAGAGTTCGGTGTCATCACCGAACCCAAACCTCGAGCCATGCCGTGAAAGAAGGTCTATGCAGACAAGCCAGGCTCGCTGGGAAGAAAGGTCTTTGGTCGACATCTCTTTCAACCAGCGAGTCGCTTTTTTGATATTTTTAGTGATATCAACAGCCTTGGCCGTGCCTATATTAGTGCGAATGAGAAGCTCGGTGAGTAGGATGGTAGTCGCCTGCATGATGTTGTGTAGGACGCACCACCACGGAGCGACGCTGTACAGCCAAGTTGAGTCTGGCTCCTCGGGCAAAAGATCGAGCATCTGACCTGCCATCTGAACGCACAAGGCTGCCATCTGCTCACACACCGTTCCCGAAGAGCTTGTTTCAGATTGTTGAAAAAGACGGCGGATGCAGGGATGCAAGATTATCAGCTTTGTGGCGTATAATCGGAAAGCAAGGCTAGAACGATGCTGCATAAATTGATGATCTGTGTCTAGCGTTGTGAAATCAAACTGCGCCGGGAGACGAGACAACCAGTTGTCGGCATGGTTGTTTAATGTTGGAATGGCAATTTCGATATCATGCCATGACCGTCGCATTGCTCTAGGAGCATACAGAGTATTAATAGCCTCCCGCAAGAGATGAGCTAGGTCCACTGCGTACAGAAAGTACAGAGAGGAGTTGGGTGTCAAATTCACTGCCCCTGTCTGGCTGGCCTTTTCTTTTTGCTTCCCCTTGCCTGACCCATGCTGTTCCGGTGTTCCTAGATCCATACTCTCTTTTGGTGAAGCCGCCGTGGTATCGGAAGTTAAAGAGGCCAAAAAGGCACTTCGAGTCCTTTGGTCGGTAATAACTTGCAGAATACGCTTATCCCAAAAGCCTTCCTCCACGAAGGGCACAGGGAGGGGTGTAGAGCAAAATATGTCCCCCGTGCTAGGTGGTCGGCCTGTCATCTCACATAACACAATATCCAACATAAACAGCGCCCACCAGACGCGATAGCGAAGTGCTTTCAAAAAGTTGGTGATGCTGTCGCTCTCGGTTCGAATGTTTAGACCCATGGTCACCGCCGATCGAATTGCAATTCCAATGAGTCTCCATGACCTAGATGAACAAGTTCCACACGTTAGAAATAAAACATGCAGAAATAGACGAGGAGGGAAAGGGACAAGAAGACCAACCTGTTAACTTGGCCAACCGATAGGAGGTAAAAAGCAGCCAAGCCCTCCACCTGTGCCTGTTGCAAGTCGGGATGATGTAGCAACACGCTACCTACATTCAGCTTCCACGCCCGTGCAAAATAAGTTTGATGGTCGTCGCAGTTTGGTTGAGGCTGATCGATGAGAACGGAATGTCTAGTCGCAATGGCAAACACTAGGTTTAGCACTATAATCCACCGTTTCCCGGGTCGCACGTTCGGATTCGCATAGAATGAACGGTACTGATTCAGAAATATTGCCTTTCCAATAATTGGAAAAGTAGGATGAACGACGTGAAAGTAAGTGTCAACGAGCCTGTTAGCGATTGGTTGTGGAGGCCGGCATGCGAGATCGATATCGTCTAAAAACAAAATTCCCGAGTCATCTTGGAAGTAGTTCACGGAAGAGATCGAAGGGCGCTCGAGGATCTCTTTGGTTCCTTTCGAACTGTTATGATCAAGGTCGCGTTTGAGTCTGTACAACCATGCCATCTCCGAATGTTCACCCACAAATCCCGTCGCTTGTACTTTCTCATCACGGTCGAAGTCCTCTTCGGTGTAGTCTACAACCGCCGAAAGAATAGATATAGGACTATCATCTGCACGGGAAGAAAACTCCGATTGGTTGGTGTGGCTTGATGGGTTGGTGAATAAAGCAGGGATAGGGGTAGGGGGAATGACTCGGGTGAGCGGAGTGCGTGCATTTAGTTCCCTCAGTGTTTGATCGACCTGTTGGGCCGACGAGGCATCGAGCTTGGGATAAAGGCTGCGCAGCAAAGCATCAAAGGTTTCAACCCGGGTGGTTAGATCATTCAGCTGCCTGTCACCTGTCAGAGAAAAAAGTACTGAAACTGGGCGAAAAAGGTTACCAACTTTACCATCTTCTCTCTTTTCCGATCGCCATACGAGCATGGCACGTTGGCATCTAGACACCGATGGCAGGCTGGGCGATGGCCACTACATTTGGCCTTTTGTTCACGGCAATTTTCACAGGCTCGACTGACTCGACCACTGCTAGTCCAACTACTGGGTTGTGCGTTCCGGGGGATAGCCACCTTGGCATTCGCACGGTCGCCTTTGAATAAAGAATAATCACGGATATCACGGCTATCGTGGGGAGGGATAGTTTCAGGATTGAACTCGAAGGGAGAAGGTTGCGGGTATCCAGGCACGGCCCAGTCATAATTGAATTCATTTTCCAGGTTCGTATATTCGAAATACGAGGCACCAGGGTTCTCACTCATATCGTTGCCAGATATAGTCTTCAAAAGGATTTGGATTTGAGCATAGGAAGGGTTTTTTTTTGCCAGACGCGAGACGCGAGACGCTAGCGCAACATCGCATCGGCCACACTGGAAGAACCGAAGAATGAGAATCATCACCCTTGCCTTGCACAAGATTAAAAAAAAATACAGAAAGTTAAAAAAAATACAAAGTAGGAGATCCCCCTACTGTGGGTATTCACAAGTGGGTTTCGACCGAATCGAGCTCTGTGGTATGTCGGAGGTCTTTGCCGGTCCGCCACTAAGAGCAGCGCTAAAACCAGTAAGCGCTTCGCTTTGCAATCTGGATGGTATTTCTGAGTACATGAGGATGGATATCGTAAAACCTTCCATATTGTGAATATGGATGTGCTGTATCGCACAAACGTTGGCGTATGTGGTCTGCACGAGGCCTTCCCGAGGTCCTCCTTGTGTTTGAAACATCCACGATTTCCATACCCATAGTTATATGAAACCTGCTCTGTAACAGGCCACGTGAAACTGATGTTCTCCCTGTACTAGGGAGAATTTCATCGTGACCTTGGATGGTTTCGACTCGTATCGCTCTCTTTCGGTCCGAGAATCACCGGTATTGCAAATATCGAGGATAGCTTGGCATTCTAACCATATCCCTGTTCGAGAACCCGGGAGAATGTATCATGTCATGAAGCAATGTTGTTCTGTTGATCAAAACCTACCGCACTCAGTAAGATTGCCCCTGGAGGTTCCTCTCTATTCAACGCTCTTGGTAAGTTTTGCACGGGGATCGTTGCTGTGCTTTCAGATCTCGGGAACACTGAATCTTGCAACAGCGCCTGTCTGGATCAAACGATCAATGCTTTCCTTTCAAGCACACCATCTTCTTCCCCTTCGGGCTTGCCTCGGTCTGAGTGGGTCGATACTCGTTCGTCATCAAATCGGAAGACCCACTGATGTCGGCACGCTCGCCCATGCCCCAGAGGCAAGCAAGACAGCAAATCATCACAAACCCATTGGTTGAAGTGACTTTTGTTGGATATTCCGGTCTTTTGTACCTACGAGTCGACGGGTCGCGTTTGATTGTGCAACCAGCTGCTGTGAACAGGCAGTCCAGCAGCTGGATGTCTGCAGCACTGTAGCAAAGAGAACAATCCAAACACCCGATTGATTTTTTGAGAGAAGATCGGAGACTGATCTTTTGCAATAATCAATGGTGGGGCTCATTTCGGTGGCAAAATTGTGGCACAGACCCAAAGGACCACACCTCTGTATAGCTGGACAATGCTCATCAAGAAGTCTCCGCCCAACCATAGTCGTTCTCTGGCTTCAATGCTCGAATCGCTATTAACGCACCATAGGCAGCATATCTAGCATTGTCTGTCATCTGTGAAGCATGTTGAAACCCAGAAGTCTGCAATGAGCATTCAACCCAGCCAAGACAGTTGACACAAACGTGATCAAAAGCATCATTCTAATATCAATACTGTGGGTCTGGAGAGAAATTCCATTATGTGATCGTGGTGTGACCTCCAGGGCTGTGATATGAACCGTGATATGAAGTGGTGCTGTTCCCCACTGCAAGCTGTGCTCAAAAGTGGTGAATGTAACTGAGCCATGCGGTTTTGCCACTAGGATTTGAGAGTAACCTCAATTCCCCAGGGCATATTGGAAGCATGGAGGAGTCTGCGATCTTGATGGACAAAGGTTGGCCTGTGGGTGTGCCCCCCCGGTTAAATCACAGTAGGTGCAGCGCGCTAGGTGAAAAAAAGAACTATTGTCATCAGCAATGACATCAAAAGAGAACGAAAAATTAGGGTCCCATTTGCATGAGAAAGACCTGAAGATTGATCACGCTTGGTGAGCGATTTCAGTTGGTTTTGAGCCGCTCAACATTAGCCTCCAGGGTTTCACCTGGGCACGGCACTGTCAGTCCCCGTGACAATGCATAGGTGCATGAAACCAAGTCTCAACCACCAACTTTGACCATTGAGTCTAAGAACATCCTCAAAACTTCCCCAAGGAGTACTGGCAGTTATAATTCCGACTCTGCAAGGTGCTTCAGGATGTGAGGATAGGGATGGGCTTGTCAGCAATGCGCCCGTTGCTGCTTTTTCTGTTAGTGCAACACGCGCAAATAAATAGCCTATAGTTCGCTGTCATTCCTCTAAGAAAATCCCAGAGATGGATTGAAAGAAAAACCCCAAATCTCTGTGTTGGAGGATAACAAAAAGAGAGGTGTGGTTCGAATTTGGAGCGATAAACAAGACTTAGGGGCATCCCGGAAATCAACTCCGAATGGCATCGAACCAATTAGGGTCCTATCGAAGAGATCAACATCATAAGCTTCTCCGCCCCTGGGATTTTAGGCAAAATTCGAATTTTCGATCCGAACCTATTCAGAGCGCCAATGGCGCCATGAAAGAAAATTCTCTGATTTGGGGAAATCAGCTCACGTCTCAGACTCTGGGGTATTATAACCAACTACACCCAAACTCACAAAACAAACTTTCCGTTCTTCACTGACGCCAAGGAAGAGCCATGCCGAAGACCCAAAAATGAGATTGGGGGCTTAGGTTATGCCTTTTTCAGTCAAGTTGGCGTCGAGTTAGGCATTCCGCCTCCGCTACGGGGGTTTCGTGTGCGTTTGTATGTGATTTCAACATCAATGGCTTGATTTGTGATAATTACGCCGATTCCAAAAGGCCTTCATGGCGTGGGAGCCTGTAATCGGTGGTTTCAGCCCACCTAACAATCATTGCAACTTATGCCATGGAAAGGCAAGCTTGCTTTTTGCTACCTACATCTATGTACTAGTATTTACTATTCACCAAATACGATGCTCGCTAACTTCCCCCCACTTCTGTCTAGCCAATCACGCATAGGTATGTCGGATTATGATGCTATTGTGTTAAGCCTCGAAGCAAGAGGCCAGAGAGAGGTTGTGACGGAGAAGATGAGCGCCCAAAATTATCTGCTAGCATCCTATGTTGTGGCCTGATCTGCCAGGCACCCGTCCAAATCTCAGTGCCCATATATCATTGTCTTGGCCAAATTGCCCGAGGCAAGAGCTGTCACGATACAAATGGGCATATCAAGATGTTCAAAGGTTATACGCACGAAATTCTGTCTTGATTGACTTCATCGGTCTTACGTGATTGGTTCTACAACTGACCATTGTTATAAACCCAGTCTACCAGAGACAATCTATATGTTGCAGCGCAAGATATGAAATCGGGTTTCAATGCTTCGTGTCTACAGTGTCCAGAAAATATGCGCCAGCCTATCAGTTAGAACAGGTTGGGCATCCATATTTGCTTTGCATGCAAGGCTAGCTCTACTCCGTAGAAACCCGCGTTTTAAGGCTCAGAGCTATTATTTCCCCCCAGAATTCAACCATCTTCGTTGTTGTTTCCCATGGGCTCTTTGGATAACAAATAGCTTATTATCCATTGATTGAATTGATTCAATGATACCTGGAAATCAACGGCTGCTATTGTATGACTGCGACATAGATCGAGGTTTATAGTTTGCCTCAGGCGTCAGTATCATGTGACCTCGTTGATTCACGTGACCGCCGTATCTCCCCTTTGCAAAGGCTATCTTTCGCAAGAACTCAGGGACGTATTCTGATATTTGAATTAACTAGTTGCATTGTAATGCAAGCATAAACGCATACAGAAATGTCTCTGCGCGGGCCCATGCGGCGGTCGCACCTGAGGCAAGTGAGCGCGGCGAGCTTGGAGAGCAGCTCCACCCACTCACTGGAGGCTTCGAACCGTGACCACGACCACGACCAAGCCACAGATGATCGGACTGTCAGGCTGTCCTCAGCAAGCTGGACACGACACCAATGTGCGCTTTGGGTGCATGATGAAACGTTTTCGCGTGAAGAGATTTTGTTGAATCCATCGGCTTTCGGCGAAACTGAAGTTCAAGTTGGGGATGTTGTCGAGATTCTGCCCATGCGGGGATCTGGGGATGCTGGCTATTCTACCCTAAAGCCCGAGGCAGCTTCGAAAGCTGCTCGCGAGAGTCATGCCGAACTCAACTCGGCGGCTCAAGCGGATAGCACCTCGAAATTCAAGACTCCACTGCAGAGCCGTTGTTTATTCGTGGTGAAGGCCTTACCACCAGAAACCAAGGCTCGGAATCCTCAATTAGAGATTTCAGTGACAAACAACATTGCCAACATCTTTGGTTTTAAGAATAGAACGCAAGTTCTATTGTCGATTGTGGACCGAGACCAATGTGCAGCGTCTCATGTCGACATTGCCTTTCGTGATCAATACATGGTCCGATCGGACATGTGGAGACTAGTCATGTCGGAGTTATCAGATAAAATCATATACAAAGGACAAAAGATCATGTTTATGGGAAGCATCAAAGCCACTGTCAAGAACATCTTTATCCGAGAGAAGAAATGCCTCTCGGGATATTTCTCACCACAAACAATCCCTATTTTCCGAAGCGAGTCCGCCAAATATGTTCTATTCATCCAAATGTCGAAAGAAATGTGGAACTTTGACTCGGAGGGGACTGGTGACATCCTCTTCAGTCGGGTTATCAATGGATTTCTACCAGAGCTCTTCAAGAGATGGGCTAATTCGGACGCAAAACATTTGGTGACCATTGTGCTGTTCACTCGAGTGGAATATGATAGGCCCACCAATTCAAGTCAGCCTAAACTCGGCGCTGGGAACTTGAACAGCAGATGCGGACCAAACAAAGTTCCGACTCGAGATTTCTATCGCGTGGTAGTGAATGATATGGCAAGCGGCCATTGGACAACCATCCTAGACGAGTTGAAGAGGGAATTCAGGACCTTTTTGCGAGATGTGTCGATACTAAAACCGGACGACATTGATGCTGTATCTGGTAGTGGTATCAAGAGCTCTTCTAAACCAAACATGGCCACCATTGCCGGGCACCCCAGTTCAGCTCTACGAGGAAACATCCTAGAGGCCATTCATCTCGCCTCTGCTCATCTAGCTTTCGACCATATC